TTTTTCCAAAAAGTTGCTCAGCATTCCTATAACTTGCTCCGATACTTCAGGTATCAACTTCTCATTATATTCAATGTATCCATTCCACCATTCTGCATCTCCTATAATCCTCTCTTCATTGTCATAAAACCGTTTCGGGTTCTAAACAAGTCTAACTGCATGCAAAGGGCGATGAATCTGATCTGTCCACCTTTTATCTATGATCTCAAAGACTCTTTTATATTTTTTTGATCAGTAAACGAGTCTCGAATAGCCTCCTTTTTCCTGTTCATTGCTTTGTAAAGGTAACCCATTGATGGTCTTTGCTCCCCATCCACCAAACGAAGTACTTTAACTAAAGGACCACCAATCTTCAATGCATGAACCATATTATTCCAGAATGCATTAGAAAGCATAATATCTGCAGATTCTCTCCCTCCCTCGAGCTTCCCTTCCATAGGCACTGTTAGTGTACTCATCTGAAACAAACAACTTCTTCAAATTGCTTTTTTGCTCATACATCCTTTCAAAGTCAAGAAAGCGGTAGCAAATCTTGTCTTTGCAGGTTTCACCAAGCTTCTTTGTTTAGTGAATCTTTTCATCATATTCAATAACAAAGCATTTGAACAATATAGGAATGCACTCTAATTGCCTGCTTAAAGACTATATTGAAAGGTCTTTCCTTGAAAATGTCACCGAAGATCAAATTAATGCAATGTGATGCACATGGAGTCCAATAATTATGCAGTTACGCTGCAGGCATCAAATCATCATCTTTAACATTTTCACTGGCGTTGTTCGTGACAACTTGAACAACATTTTCATTTTCTACTCCCAGTAGTCTATTGTACTCTTAAACAAGGAGTACATTTTGGTTGAATCAGTAGAAGAGTTGCTTGCATCAGCGGGCTCAAGAAACAAGCTTCCCTTGGGAGAATTTACCAAGATATTGATGATCATTTTTCCATTTCTTGCCCTCCACTTATCTATCATAATGGAACAATCAAACTTGTTCCATTCTACTTTGTGCTCCTCTACGATTTTGTTAGTCTCTTCCACCTTTTTTTAAATATGGACCTCTAACTTCATGATAAGTTGGAGGCTTCATTCCCGGGCCATATTGGTCTACGGCCTCAATAAAAGCAGAAAAAGTGTCGGTATAATTAACACAATTAAAAGAAAGACCTGCATCGTACATCCACCACGCAAACATTGCAACTGCACGATCCCGCAAAATCGCTTTGGCGTCAATTTGACGATTACCACTTTTCCCTGCCATATCTCCTGGTTGCGGGAAATAACAATCAATAGGACCTTTAGTCTTACCAGTAGATCCACAACTTGAAGACATTGTTTGTATCCTTTCCCGCTTTTGTGATTTTAATGGAAGCGACAAACCATCATCACCTTATTCTATTTCATCATCGTTGTCATCAAGATTATGCACTTGTTCTTGTTCATGATGCATTTACTTTAACTCTTTTTTTTGAAGGTATGAGTTCATTTCTTCCTTCACATGCGGCAGAACTTTAGGACAAGATGCGACGCTTGGATCACCACTGATTAGATAAAAATTTTGACAATAGATTCCCCCATCCAAAATCTTGTCACAAAAAATACATCTAATTGCCATCTTGTTGCTCGCTAACTCTTACAGAATAAGTCCAAGCCGGGTCTTTCCTATCTTCTTTTGGTGCCATTAAAAGAACAAATGAATAACACAAAAAATGGCAGTAAGAACTAAGAAGAACTGAAACAAAAAAAAATGGCAGTAAGAAACAAATTGGGCAGCATTTCGCTGCAATTTAAGACTGAAACAGTGAAAGAAAAAGAAGAGAACGAGAAAAAGAACTGAAAAAACTGCTATTTTGAGACTGAAACAGTGAAAGAAAACGAAAAAGGAGGAGGAGGAGGAAGAAATCATATACCGGGCTTGAACTTGATGAACTTAAACTTGAAAAGTGCAGAAAATGGGAACACTAGTCGCCTGTTTTTCTCTGCTGCTCGATGATGTTCTGAAAAAAGAGAGCTTTTTTATTTTTAACGCTGGCAGCCACTTAATATACTGAAGTGCTCGCTTCTGTCACTTCTCGCGCTTTTCGCTTTTTTGGCAGAAGCGCACGCTTTATATCACCTGCTATGCTTCCTAACACAGAAGCGACCAACTGCCCGCTTCGCTTCGCGCTTTAAGCGCTGAAGCGAGCGCTTTTCACAACACTGGATTGAAGTTCATTAAATTTGTCCTGTTCTATTTCCTACTATGATATACCATAGAGAAAGGTGGTTTTCTATGTTGATATTGTAAATCATTTGTGTTAAAACAACTGTCTTTCTTCAAGATCTATATAATGGTGGTGTCCTAACTAGCTTGCGTGCACTTTGGCTAATCCATGAGTACTTGCTACCTTTTAACAACAGTTATCTAGTAACTCTATTTACCAAGGCTTAGATAGATGGAAAGAAATCACCTTACTCTTTTTGCTTCTATTGTAATTTGAACCTTGGTCCCTCATGGTCTATTTCAGCATTATTGACCGCTAGACAACGCCTTGATTAATCAAGCAATTTTTCTTTCCTCTTCCAACTTCATGGTATGCAATTTAAGCATACAGGTCGCCCATTCTGATGTGTAGAAGGATCTAAGTACATGAAAGATTAGCACTGAACCTGCCAAAGATCCTCTGTTTTAGCATTTTGTGAACCTATTCTACTACTCCCCATTCCTACATTATTCCTATCCTAAAAGGTCTTTGTTAGGAAAAGAAAAAGTACAGCAAGTAAACCAAATTACATGCTTGTGCTATTTTCTTGGGGAAAACCTTGTCTACCTCTACTTAGCCTAACATAGATATGACCCCTCAAAACAAAGGTGACACTAGAGTTGGATAATGCAAGTTGGGCTTTGAACTTGCGGAGGCAACATTAATTCTACTGGTAGCTGGGATGTGAACAATTTTCAGCTTTTATACCGAGTCATGCCCCCCTCAAAACAAAGGTGACACTAGAGTTGGATAATGCAAGTTGGGTTTTGAACTTGCGGAGGCAACATTAATTCTACTGGTAGCTGGGATGTGAACAATTTTCAGCTTTTATACCGAGTCATGCCCCTGTACGTGTGGATTCTGATTTGTCAGTTACTCTGTTTAACTGTATGCAAAACTATAATGCTGCAACTTTAGATTACAAGAGCAAAGGAAATCAAATAACATCACATTGAGGAGAACTTTTACTCTTCTTAAAATGCCTGTCTACATAGATATTCTTTTGGGAAAATATCCACCAAGTAACTTTTGGCATTTCAAAAAAAGCAGCTAGCTTGAAATTCAATGCTTTTCATTAACAGTCCATGTAATTTAGGATAAACTAGGAAACATTCTTCAATAGGACCTATGGTTCAAGTCCTATATCCTCCTAGATGAAGCAAGTGTGCTAGATGGTTTCAGAATAGAAATTTACATCATGTTTGAGGTCTTATCAATAAAGTAACTGCTCTCAGATTTAAATCCAAGGCCCTTCTTTGAATACTGTGCTATTCGGGCAAATTTTGATCTTTCTAACAGTTTAAGACATGCAAACAAAGGTGTAATAATTTGCACTATAACTAACAGATGCTGTTATCTGAGCTCGTTTAGGTCCCTCCATATACAATAAGCGGCAAGCAAATTCTTGTTGTATACCTTTGAAGTTGTTTGTGAATTCACTCATCAAAAAATGATCTCAGTTGCTGAGTTTGAACATAGCATCTGATTTCTGCTTCCATATGTTTGTTGGTCAGTGTTAATAGTTAAATGAATGATAGCTTGGCGTTTTTTTTCTCAAACTTTGCTTTTTTTATACTATTTTGTTTGGAGAGCATTCATCTCTAGAACTGCTCTTTTGTTAGCTTTAGTTTCTCAGCGATCTGCATGATGTTTGATTGCGTGAATGTGCTCTTTGTATCTTTGTTTGATTAATGAGTAATGTTCCATTTGCCATTTGAAATTTGGAGTGTATTGTGTTGTTCTGTATGCTGACAGTCTTATATTTCCCTTAACTCAGTTTGGGCGGATGCTGACACATGGTTTGAGAGACAACAGCAAGAAGAGGAAATGAAGCGCCTTCAGGAAGAGCAGAGGGCTGCAATGCAGGCTGCAGAGGAATTACATAGGAAAAAGATGGCTGAAGAGAGGGATGGGGAAAAGGATGAAGAAACAAATAAGCAAGACGACCCTATGGCAATGGCTGAAGCCGAGGTTTTAAAACAAAATGCTAGTTCTTAGTCATTCTGATGGTTTAGCAGTCTTTTTTCAGACATGTGTGGCGTATTTTAGGAATTTTAGTAACTCAGTTTGATTAAACAATTCTGCTGCGTTGATAAGTACTTCGCTCTTTTTCTTACTTGACTTGTATCTTATTGTCTTGACACAGTTTTAGCTGTCCTTATGCTACTAACTTTACCTTCCATAATTCGGTATGGAGAGTTGCTGCCTCAATCTCAATCAGCATAAATGTTTGAACCCGACTGATTTGGAATTAAAGCATTAATTGATCGATTGATTTGTATAACTGAGTCACTCTAACAATGCCTCTAACTGCATATATGCTGATGGATGGAAGCATATCAATCTGTATGTGGAGAATTCCGACTTAGTTTCATGTATTTGCTATAATATCTGCATCTCACATTAACTACTGCTGCTGGAACTTAGTTCTAAGGGAAAACAGGATAGAGAAGAAAGTAAACTTTCCATTTTCCTCCAGTATGCTGGCAGCAACAGAGTCTGAACTTTTACCAAAAATTTTCCATTTTCATGAATTGCATGATTCAGAGTTAACTTTTTGACCATTTGTTTCTGGAAAATGGTTTCATTTTCTAATAATCTTTTTAAAAATAAAAATATTGTAATTTATCAAAGATGGAATCATATGAAACAAATTACTAGTAGATAAAATAAAATCTTGTAATAATTCAAAGTAGACCACATGAAACTCTTGTTTTGGAAATGATTCATTTTTGGCATCACCTTCTGTAGTTATTTAGCTTTCAGCACTAAAGGTATGGATTTACTTTGATCTGTGTGGGCACCAAAATTTCTGATGTTTTCCCCAATAAAAAGACAACCACCACATCAGAAGAGGAGACTGCAGGTGGAATACACTTGATCCATCACAAAAACCTAATAACCTTTCTAATCAGAAAAGGCATTAAATTTTGGCAGTAAGGAAAGATAAATTGAAAAAACCTGACAATGTACTAAGTTCCACATGCCTTCTGCAACATACATTTTTGACATGGAAAATCTGGTCCTACTCTGAATATTTTGTGCCTTCTAGTTTTGAGGCAGCTGCCTTATCCAGATACCACACTAATTTCCCTTTAGTTGGCTGGATCATCTTTGCGGGCGATGACAACGGACAGTCAGGCCCGACATCGTCAATTGCCAAATGTGCAGCTTCTGCTTTGCTGCTTCCAGTAACAACCACAGCCACATTGGAGGCAGAGTTAATGACAGGCAAAGTGAAAGTAATCCTCTCCGGAGGGGGCTTGGGCGAGTCCGTTATAAAAGTCACCCATTCTGCTTTCTCATCGAGTATGTAGTGATCAGGGAATAGAGATGCAATGTGGCCGTCAGGGCCCATCCCAAGAAGGATAAGGTCAAACTTGGGGCAGTCGCTAATGTCAGAAACGCTGATTACACGAGTCCTCACAAGCTGTCTTATGACAAACTCATAGTCTTCAGCAGCTTTCTCAGCTGACACTGTGTCGTTAATAGAATGTACATGGCTTGGAACAATAGGGACCTGAAAGGTGGAAGCAAACCATAATTAAGAAATACAATGCCAGACTAACACAACTAATATCAGTACCAAAAACCAAATTCCTCTTGCCCTTATAAATGGCCAAACAGTTCAATAGGAATTTCAGTTGTATTAGGGGTGTAAAGGGCGATTGAAAACTGTCGATGACGCACTAGGTGTTTTGTGCTGGGAGGGAGGTAGAGATTGAAATAAAGTCTTCGCGATTAAAGTGGTCAAGCATTATGTTATTCTGTGTCTGTAGCATATAGTATAATTAAGTCTCTCCTATGACTTGTAATTCCCTATGTTCACAAATTATATGCATCTCATTTCACAAAACAAATTACGCCTGAAACCCATCCTCAGTTGGCTCGGTGTATTCAGTTCAAGAACACCATGGCTTGGAGGATTCCCTGCATTTTTTACATGCATCGTATGTTGACAATTTTAACATGCCTATTCTTCCTCCTGGAAGATTTTGATCTGTATTCTAGTGAAAGATTAAGATCTCGCTGTGGTAAACTCAATCATCGATGACAGAAATTTCTCAGAAGAGGTCTACTTTAAAGATCTCTTGACAAAGAACACAACTAACATGTATCACAATCCATAAAAGGAGAGCCATTGTTATGACAAAGAATATGATAGCCACCAAACTACTATTGAGGCTCACATCATTAATTCCAAAAAAAGGATAAATCAACAAATTGTGTGCAGAATAAGTTGAAGTTGAGATGTTAATTTACCTTGGATAAAAAACCATCCTTGGCTAGCTTGTAATTACTATCAACATGATTCTTTGCCACGACACGTTCATCCACCCAAAATATATACCACTTGGCCCAATCAACAGTTTTGCTGTAAGGGGCTTCACATAGTTTTCTGCTTCCCCAGTATTTCAAACAAAATTTACTACCTTATAGAGAAGACAACAGAATAAATGTAAGCAGATAGAGAATGAACTTACATACCTCATTAAGCTGATGAGAGATCCACCGGATAACGCAATGGCAAATACTCCTCTCTCTTTCACAGAAGCTTCAGATAGTTCTGAAATATAGTCGGCCAAATCAGCACTTAGTTCATCCAAATACTCATAAATCCTCACACCTCTTGCATCTTCTTTAGCTCCAGAAAGAGCCATCCTTCTCTAAAGGATGTTAGAGAATACTTCTCTTCTGCACAAATCACAACATACAAGAAGTCAACTGCAGGGAATGTATTCGCTTTGATTCGCCTGACGAATAAAAACAAACAATTATGCCTCAATCCCAAGCAAGTTGGTGTCGGCTATATGAATCTTCAGAGTCTATGTTGCTCCATTTATTCGCAATCCAACAGTAAAAACAAAAATTCGCTGGTACCAAAAGTTCTCCACATTTCTGCTGCATATATGAATCCACTGGACTGATAAATACATGCATATCAATTCCATAATGCTCAATTGTGAAGTCAAAATATAGACTCACTAACTCTACTATTTCAAGAGAGTTCTTAAGGAAAATTACAACCTTCTTACTTTTTTGGCCAATTCTTTATTCTTGAAATCTCTGAGAAAGAATTCATCACTAAAGCAAAATGACAATTCAATAAAAATTTACATGTAACCCCCCTCTACATTGCGTAATTACAACAATATAGCTGATTTTCGACATTATTCCAACAACAGTAACCATACCTCAAACCCAAACTAGTAGGTTTTGTGTATAGGGTCAAATTTGACCGTCAACGTCTCTACGCCAATGGGTACGCCCAGTGAGTATACGTCAACTAACGTAAGGGTACGACTTGGACGTGGGGACAAAAGCGAATCCTTCAGGGTTAGACACCAGGTGCTCCGTTCTGATGTAGAAGTACCTACGCCAGAAGAGGCGGTTGGCCTTGTCGTAATACTTTCTCTTGAGTTCATATTATCATTTTACACTATTAGATTTACAACAACAACTTCATTTTTCATCTCTAGGTCTATTATATTTGATTACAATTTACCCTTTCCTACCTTTGATTGTTTTTAAGCTTGCAAAGTATATCGATAACTTTTGAGCCAAACATTTTGGTATATGAATCCTCAATGCATTCTCAAAACTAAAGCGCTACTAGTCAAAACCTAAATATTTCGAAAACTAAAAATATGACAACTATCAGTAATATCAAAAAATGGTAATAGTGGATACAGAATTCTTGAAATATAACAATCAAACAAGCAGTTAGCAAACAGCAGTGCATGTAAAATAACGCAAAGGGAAATAAAATAAGTTGAAAACCTTAATCACAAACATCATTACAAACAAGACTCAGATCAGAAAAAATTTCACCCTTTTTCATCAATAAACTTGGGGTCACAAAGCCCAGCAAGTAAACATAGAGTGTTAAAAAAAGATTCTTAGAATCATAAATCCATACAATATTTTTATATTTCTGCACTAGAACCACTGAAACCAAGACAGAGAGGGACAGAGTGTCTTACAGAGATGAGAATGTAGAGAAAAGGGAAAATGAAAAATGGGTATCAGCAATTTCAGATTATCAGTACAGTAATAAATATGTATAGACTAAACAGATACCCACACACACCAACACCATAAGTAAGCTAATAATATGTGACATATTTTCCTGAATATAAATATGACATACACAGGAGAATTTACTTCCTGGGGTTCCACGTGCATCCAATAATCACGACAAAAAACTCTCTCCAAAGTAAGCGGATGATCATCTACTTCTGAAAAACCAGATAGGATAAATAAGGAAAGAAATTGTGAAAGAAATTGATTTCTTTCCTACATCTTCTGCTGAATTATCTCGCGATTGATTAATTAATTAGTTAAACTTAATATCTGCAAAGAAACTAAGAACTAATGAGATATCATGTTTTGGTGATGGTACTGACTTATGTAGTGTTTGGATTGACTTATTTTAAGTTTTTATTGGTTAATTTTTCTTGTTTTTGCCGTAGTTGATAATGATAAAAAATGTTTAAAAAAATTTATTTTTAGGCATAAAAAATACAAAATAAATTAAAGTCAAAAATTAGGTATTACCCACTTATGACTTTCAGCTTTTAGCTTCTAAACTATTTTTTAAAAGCCAATTTAAACACGCTCTTAGTAACACTTGTTCAAGTATATCAATTTGACAATTAAATTGCACCATACTTATTTGAATATTTTAATCTAGGTAATGTAATCTTCCTTTAGCTTCTCTCTCTCCATCTTTAGCTTTATTATGTGTTTTTTTAATACTTATCTGGCTGTCTCCACATAACCAGCCTAGTTGTCGCTTGTTACAAGTCAGGAAAATGTACCTTACAATTTACATTACATGTCAATTCCTTATTCTTGAAACCTCAAAGTAAAAATGTGCCTTTATGGACATTTACAATGTTAAAATTAACAATAACAGCAATAATATATTCAGTAAAATCTCACATAATGGGATTTGGGAGGGTAGTGTATATGCAGACTTTACCTCTACCTTGTGGACATAGAGAGGTTGTTTGCAATATACCCTCAGCTCAGAAAAGCAAAAGCACCACATTAATGAAAAGAAAAATAAGAATGGACAACACCGAGAAGCCAATAAAAGCAGCATAAATAACAAAAAGATAGTAATATCACGTCCCGAACTCGGGGAGCATGATCGACGCTCAACCGAGATACCCAGGTCGAGCAAGCCTGCACAATGCCGTCTACCCAACTCACCCATGAATAAAGAGAAGATACATTTCATTAATTAGACAGTAAGAGGTCATGTGAACAACACCGGTTCATTGCCATTAGTTACGTTATTAACAAATCTCCAAAATAGTACACTACACAACCATAGTTTGAAGTGGAACATGTATACAATTACAACATTTTTAGTTTAACTTTCCCAAAACAAGATACAACCCACACTATGTCTACAGAGCTTTTAACAGAAACAAAAGAGTGCTACGACAGTGCTGGCAACAAGGCCCCGGCTATACATCAAAACGCTATGTACAAAGGACAAGAGATACAAGACCCCGAAATGAAGTGAGGCTCACCAAGTCAGCTGGGGAGATGGTGTACTGCTATTACTGGTCAATGTCACCTGTTATGGAACCACCCGCATCCATTAATGATGCAGCGCCCCCGGCAAAAGGGACATTAGTACTGATACGCGGCGCCTTCCTGAGATTCCTTGGAAGGGCGACGTACGGCTAGGCAACTGATGTCAGTCCAGTTGCTGTCCGCCAACTGAGGTCCCCTTCGTACGCTAGACGAGATTGTCAGTGCCGTACGGGAAAACCAATGTCAAGAGAAATTGAGAGAACAGAAATGAGAATTCAGAATGAAAGAAAGCTTGATTGCATTAATGAAAGCTATTACAGAAAAGCCACGCGGTGTCGAGGGGGAGAGACACCAGTACAGAGAATTGCTTGCTTGCTAGAAAGTTTTGATTGCTTGATCCCCCCTAATAGTACTTAAAAAAAATAAACCAAAGTTACAGGAGTAGACCTAATTAAGCTAGAGAAACATAATGGAAAGTGCATGAAATAAACTACTCTATATTTACAATGAAAATGACTTAGTTTTCTATAAGGCAGCAGCAGGCCCGTTGTCAGCAGCAGTGTCTTTGGCATCACGGTCTGCGCGCGCGGCGCTGTTGGCTTCTACCTGCGGCATGGTGCTCGCGAGGGATATCGGTGGGGCGACAGAGGCACCTGCGCGCTTGTCACTTGGCGCGGCCAAGACCACGGGGCCGTCCGTGGCGCTAGGCATTGGGAGGTTCGCTAGGACGCCACGGGGCGCGCCCAAGGGGTCATGGGGCATGGCTGGAAAGCCGCCCATGACAGTACATATGGAATAGTACTAGTATGAAAAACTTAGCACCAACTCAATAGAACGAGAACAGTATAATGAGAAAGAAACATGGAATCAATGAGGGCCTCAAACAATATTAAAGTATCAAGTTAGGATAAAGGATAAATTTCAAGCAAGTTTCAATACTTTTAAGTTGGGATCTTTAGTACCGATACACCAACGTGCTTTTAGCACGAGTCTGATCTCAGCCCGATCGACTAAGCCGTCTCACCATAATGTCGTGTGGGTCGACGTCACCTCACATTCCGCTAGAAATCATCTCATCCCATTTAAGGGGGATTATCTCAACACATCAATCTCATCCTATATTCGGGGAAAACTCTCACCACCTCACACGAGAATGTTACTCCTCACTCACTCTTATACCGACACGTGTAGTTTTGGGGTTATGTTATTTCAACCTACCCTTCCTCGGTGATTAACGATACTCTCAAAGCATTTATTATTTATAGCTCATTTTAATGTCTTATACACGTCTCTTCATTTCATTGGCACCAGTGGCCCCAAATATAATATCGTTCTTGGCGCGTTGGCCGTATTTCATATTTTATGCTCGCCTCTTTCACTTTCAAACATCATCATGGATTATCAACAACAAGGCCTTTCTATTCAAGACTTTAAATACATAGGTGAGCAAATAAAAGTCTTAGCCACATTGAGATTTTTTACACAATTTGGCATAATAGCTTTCATTTGAAACGCGACTTGAAGTCATAACATGTTAATACACAGCCCATACTTAGATCACATTCCCGAAGGATAACACAATAAGATAAGAGCATTCGAAACACATTTTGAATATATAACTTTCAACATAATGCTTATTCGGAATAGTCAAACTTATAATGAACAACTCGGGACTTACAGGAACATCGCGGGATTCAATTCTAAGAGAAAAGTTTAGCCAACATACCTGGCTTGAGCTTCCTTTAATTTACTACAACATTCCGAAACTCCTAGCGACTTCAATCTAATTAAAGACATAACAAAGTTTAACTATAATTAGGAATATTCTCGGGGGTCAGCTCATTTGAGCATTTTATGCGGTCCGCAAAATGGGCCGTAAAAGTGATGCTCAAAACTGGGTTGCCCTGGTTCAATCTGCGATAAGGTCTGCGGTCAGCATACCAGTTCTATGGCCGCGAAATAGACCGCAGAATCACCCTCCGAATTTCTTCATGCCAATTCTGCGACGGAAGTGCCGCCCGTGAAACTATTATGCGGTCGCATAGTTGATCGCAAAATGACCTCCAAAATTGGCCATTTTTCTGTTTCACTCCGCTGCGAATCTGCGGTCCGCTCAGTAGTTCTACGGTTGCATAATGGAACGTAGAAACGCCCTATTCTGAAATAATTTTTTCTTCAACTCCCCAGCGCACTGTTCAACCCAAAAAGTCTGTATTGCGGTACCATCATCAAACACATAAGCCTATATTGGCATCACGAAACCCCGGGTTCTAGGTGAACTTTTATGGGCCTTACAAGAAAGATGACCAAAATGCTAGAGACAACAAGTAGTCATAGAAACCTAATACCAACAGAATGCGAAAGTACGTACTAATACTACCGATATGAACAATCTTGAATACCTAACCTACTACCCTGATCCTCGACCTCCACACTTTCCTATCAAGGGTCATGTCCTCGGTGAGCTGCAATTGCACCATTTATTGCCTAATCACCTCTCCCCAATTATTCTTTGACCTACCCCTACCTCTCCTTAGGCCCTCCAATGTCAACCTTGCACACCTCCTTACCGGGGCGTCCGTACTTTTCCTCCTCACATGTCCAAACCATCTAAGACTCGCGTCCCCCATCTTGTCCTCAATAGATGCCACACCCACCTTATCCCGAATAACTTTAGTCCTAATCCTATCTAACTTAGTATGCTCGTACATCCATCTCAACATTCTCATCTTGCTGCCTTCATCTTCTGGATATAGGAGCTCTTGACTGCCCATCACTCAGCCCCATACAACATAGTTAGTCTAACCATCACGCTCTATAAACATACCTTTAAGTTTTGGTGGCACCTTCTTGTCTCACAAAATACCAGAAGCAAGTCTCCATTTCATTCATCCCGCCCCAATACGATATTTGGTATCTTCATCAATCTCACCATCCCCATGTATAATAGACCCAAGGTACTTAAAACTTCCTCTCGTAGGGATGACTTATGAATTCAGCTCACCTCTCCTTCCACTATCTGAGTAGCACCACTGAACTTACACTCCAAGTATTTTGTCTTGGTCCTGCTCAACTCGAAACTTTTAGACTCCAGAGTCTGCCTCCATATCTCTACCTCGCATTATCACCACCTCGCGCCTCGTCAATCAAAACAATTTCATCTGCAAATAACATGCACCACGACACCTCCTCTTGGATGTGGCACGTCAGTATGTCCATCGCCAAGGCAAACAAAAAAGTTCTTAGTGCCAACCCCTGGTGCAACCCCATCATGACCGGAAAATGGTCCGAGTCCCCTCCCACAGTCTTCACCCAGGTCTTTGCTCCATCATACATGTCCTAAATCGCCTAATACAACCCCATTTACAATGTTGAAATTAAGAAAACATTTTTTGTAGATCTTTTATACGTAAAAGGTAGATCTCTTATGTGTAAAAGCAAATCTTCCATGTGTAAAAAAAAAAAAGATAAAGTCATAAAACTAAAATAAGTTTATAATGACCCACAAAACTATTTGACCTCGTTCGCGGTTTTACATGACTTAATAATTTTAGGTCAAACTTTATACGTAGAGTTGAATATACATTAAAAGATATAGTTACAGTTAGATATACATAACAGAATCTCCACTTCAAGAAAGTATCTAAATTCAGGATTTGTTACTGCCCTCCCCTTCCTTTATTATTATTAGAAGCATAACGCAGAGTAGTCCAACAACTTGATTGGCTTTCTTGTTGGGAAATCTACTCTAAATGCCTACTCAGGCAATTTTAATTACCCGTTACTATCCATTCTAATTTCTCTTATAATGTGTACCTATGCAATCTAAAGTATTTACCCAACTACCTATTTTCAAAAT